TTCCTTCAGGTGGTGAGTTTGGCCAGACATTTGATCTACTTTGGCTTCTACAGTTTTTTTGAGTTGCTCAGACTCACAAGGACCCTGCTGGGCATCATTGACTGCAGACTCAATCCAGGACACGCTGGTCTCGTATTCAATGATGATGCATCAGGTGACTTAAAATACCATAACAAGCTAAGACATTCAATTGTTTAACAACAACAGGTTTGCTGCCAAGTTTAACTTTAGTTTTTATCTTCAATTACTTACTTGTAATGGGTCCTGTTTGTTTGTATGCCTGTTTGTTAGCAGTTTAGATTCCACAATTTTAAGATATCATCTTCAGATTTTGTGTGATAGTAGATACTAACAAGAGCCCAAACCATAATTGTTGTGAAAATCAGTTCAAGGTCAAGTTCGCACCGATCTCTGAATGCGCTTGTTCTATTTAGTCCAATGAAAGTCCATTAAAAGTCAAATGAAACAAACAAAAACAAACATTTATCTTTGATACCTTGATAACTTATTAATCTATTATAATGTTAAAGCTCACTAAAGCTCAGTTGTTTCTTCCCTTATGAAGAAAAGGTCTTTTTGTTTATGAATTTATGGGAATTGCAGTAAATCTTTTTTGCTCTCTCTCTCATCTGCATTTGTATATTCTGGTCATTCGATCTGTATTTCCATTTTTTTTAACCAAACATGGCTGATTTGTTTTATCAAGTTTAGCTCATTCTCTGTTTCAAGCATTTTTTCATTTGTCTTTATTGTTTATTGATTCTTTTCAGTTATTTTCACCTTTCATTTTCATTTTGTGCTGTTTTCTACTTGTTTATGTCTCTTTTTCATTAATATAATTTTTGTTTGTTTCTGTGCTGATTTGTCAATTTCCTGACTCATTTTTGTGTTTCTCTGTGGTTATATTGCCGGACCGTCCAGCAACAACATTCTTGGACTCGTTCCATGAGGTCTTTTTGTGCGCATGTATAACTGTTATTGACTTTATTTTGAATATTGTCGGGTTAATTACACTGACATGCTTTTTTTTCTTCTCTTTGTTAAGGCAAGAACGTGAAGCGCTCTATACACGGGATGGGTCAGATGATGTCGACCATGGTCCTCAACAGGAAACAGTCCATATTTGGAGGTGCAGTTTCCAGAGGGGCAGGAATGGGGCCAGCGCTTGTGCTTGAAGGACAAAGAGGCAGTAAAGATAGTCTCGACAACATGGACTTGACAGTGATGGATACTAAGCTGAAGATACTGGAGATATTACAGGTAATATACAATAATTTTAACTCATTTTACACTCAGTGGCCACTTTTTTGTTTTTAGGTACACCCATCCAATGCAGTACAATATTTAAAATGAAATTTATTAGATATCGATTAGACAACATTGCAAGAAATAAAACACTGCCCAACCAGTGTTTCGCAAAAGGGCCTGCTCACAAAACACCTTTAGTTTGTAAGCAAAGTTATAAGAATGACATTCAAACCCTATATGTAAAATTATGTTATTGTAACTGAATTCCACTTTCCTTTTCATCAGTTCATCCTGAATGTCCGTCTGGACTACCGCCTCTCCTTCCTCCTGTCTGTATTTAAGAAGGAGTTTGTGGACGTTTATCCCATGGCTGACGCTGACGCTACCACTAATATGGAGCATGCAGGTAGAAACACAGCTGGTGCAAATAAACTCATTCAATTCATTTTAACTCTAACATACATAAACTATATATAAAAAGTTGTCTTCTGCTTCTCTATGCATGCGTGTGCACGTGTGTGGTAGTTGGTAGTTTAATTTTAGAAATGCTGTATTTTGATTAAAATAGAATGGAAAGCCTTTATACACATGTATCTCATCATCACATCTATTGCATACATGTGGGGGGTAAAGTGCACAGTTCTGCAGCACTATGTACATTTGAACAGTATTCAAAAATATACAGTGTACAAATATGCAAGTCAGGAATAAAAATAGTGTCATATATTTACGGTGTAGTTTATTGCACGTAAATTAGGTATGGCACAGTGATGATGTGTGTTCTGTTTATGGAGGGAAGTGCTTGAATTGGGGGGTGGAACTGTGTTTTCAGTGCATGTGTGACTTCAGCGTGGTTATGGTTTTTGGGAATAAATTATTCTTGAGTTTGTCGGTCTTTGTGCCGATGCACCTGTAGCACTTCCCTGAGGGAAGAATTAGTTTCCAATATATATCTAAATACCTAAAAACGCAATTCAAATAATCTGTGACCTGTAAGGTTTTACTTATTTTCTGAAATCCATATACTGTTATAATGGTGGATTTTTTCATGGACAACTCTTCAAGTAATGAGGTCATTACTCGCACTACTGTTCACTGTGAGTCATAAGCTGCACAGCTTTTTCCTTTTTTCCTTTTTTCCTTCCTCAAAATTTTTGTTTGCTTAATAGTAGTACAGCCAGGGCTGCACCAAGGCCAACTATAAGATAAATATAGATTTTTATTAGTTTTAAACTGTCATGAACTGTGTGTGGCAGGCAGGATTGGACCCAGACGCAGACTCTTAGACAGGACTTTAACACAAAATCCAGCTTTTTTGCTGAAACAAGTCAATAGAGAAAACTAAATTAGGATCAGAACACACAGCTTGGTACGAGGGAGACGCTGATATAGATACACAGAAAGATAACGAGGAAAGTGAGAACACTGAGGGAACGCAGCTGACACGAATTAACATGACGCCACAGGGGAAGCAAAACAGGACACACCGAACATGGAAACACGAGACCTTCACAATAAATGAGGAGTGGAGGAAAGGCAGACGAGCGGGGGGACAGAGAGGAGACATGAGGGGCTGGAGAAACACAGAGTGGAACACAAGGAGGGAAACAAGACGTGAGGGCTCACGACATATATACACACAGACACACCATGAGAGACACAGACGGCAAAGACACAAGAGGGAATCTAATAATCAAGAATTTAAACACGGAATAAAAGAAACTCACAATGGAATAACTAAGACTATAAATGAACCTGAACATAAAACATAATAACATAACAAAATATTACTAGAACACAAAAAACTCAAAATGCTGGGTCCAGGTAATGACATAAACTGTGAGGTTGTTCTACTAGGATCCAGAAATAAAAATATGTATATGGAAAGAGGTATGACAGGTCCCATTAAAATATGATAAATCTAATAATTGAATTTAACAAAACTTTAATGAGATGGAATAAATTTACACAGATTTTAGAAAAACCTTTGCGTGTTGTCTACCTGAACATCCACCCTGCAGTTTTTCTTAAGGTGCTTGTGTTACTTGTCTCCCTATGCTTCAGATGTGCCGGTTAACATGGACATGACAGGTAGTGCATAGATAAGCTCATATTAGAAGCAAAGAAGAACCTACAGAGAGCACATGCCACATTTCTTCACCAGTTCACAAGTCATTTTATTATTATAACACAAATTACTGCGCAAAAGTCTTTAACCCTATTCCTTAATAGTTGGTGCACGACTTAGATTGGAATGTCTTGATGCCCAATCATCCAGGTAAGTAAAGTGTTCATCTGGACGTAGCGCTTTCAGTGGGTGAAACGTTTCGTCACTCATCCAGGTGATTTCCTTCAGTCTCAGCTGACTGCAGGTTTCCAACCTTATAAACAGAAACATTTGCACATGACTGAAACTAGCACCACTGAAAGAACACTTTTCACGTAAATGGGAAAGCATCTCTGAATCGAGGAGGGGGCTAAAGGAGACATCTTTCACCATCTTACAATGCTGTGATTGCAGCCATTCCCCAACTCTCTGGTACTCATGACCATCGATCAGTGGTCTTTGACCTCACAGCCCATTGTTCATTCAGCGTCCAGATGAACAGAACTTAGATTGAAAGATTTCCACAATGTGAAGCAGTGTGGGATCATCTTGAAAGAGAACAGAACAAGCTAACTGATCCAAAGAGGAGGTTTGGACTGTTCAAGAAAACTGGAAATTATTGCTAAAGAATAATTAAAGGAATTTGACGATAGCTTACTTAAGAGAGTTAAATAAGAGGGAGCTCAGGTTGTGTTGAAGAATAAATCTAGACATATTAAATATTTACTTTCAAGCTTATTAGAATGATCCATACTGTTTGTATTTGTATCTATGCTTGCACATGTTGTCCATCTTCCTAGCAGAGCATCAAGAAATGAGGGTTGGCTCAAGACTTTTGCACAGTAATGGGTAACATTTAGAGTGAACCGTATAAGCAACTTGGTGTGAAACCATGAATAATTAATTTCAGTTCTGCCTTTTTGTCCCTACTCAGCCACCATCAACCTGCAGTTCATTGGAGAGCAGGCAGAGGCCATGTTTGGAGTTGGGTGTGTATTGCTGGACATGCATTCATGCACAGGTTCTATTAATACAACATACACACATCTTAAGTACTTTGTGTGTTTGTGTGCAGAAAAGGGAACAGTATCCTGGAAGTGGATGATGAAGGTGGTCGCATGTTCCTGCGGGTGTTGATCCACCTCACAATGCACGACTACGCTCCTCTGGTGTCTGCAGCCCTGCAGCTGCTTTTCAGACACTTCAGCCAGCGACAGGAAATGTTACATACCTTCAAACAGGTGACACAGACATGCAAAATCTACATAAATAAGCACAAAACAAATCCAGTATCTCTTAACTAAAATGCTGACCCCTTAAATGCTTTACTGTCAGTCAGAAGGGAATGTAATAAAAAGCAGAAGAAGTACAGTCATGAGAATCAGTGTACACAACACTAGCTAAGACCAGCAATTCTTCATTAAACTTGTCACAATTAACTTCAAATTGTCTATTTTTTTGTATTCACTGAAATTTTCAAATCTTCCTGGAGATCTGTGGCCCTGAGGGGTGTAGTGCGAAGTTCAGTATATCCAGGCTTTCTTTGCGTTAGCTAGTTTAATAAAACCTCAAACATAACGGTGCTTTCTTTGCTAACCCAGGCTTTCTGCTACAGTCTTCTGTGGGAACTCAGAACATGGAAATATTGCAGAATATTCATGTTAATCCTCCAAGTTGTAACTGCAGGTCCAGTTGCTGATCTCCGCTCAGGATGTGGAGAACTACAAGCTGATTAAAGCAGATCTAGATCGCCTCAGGACATTGGTGGAGAAATCTGAACTGTGGGTGGAGAAGAAAAGCTCGGGAGGAGGAGAAGGGAAGAAGGACAAGAAAGACAAGAAGGAAAAAACAGAGGTAAGGACTAATGAGATAAGAATGAGATAAGGGCATCCTTGCAAAAGAGATTTTCTAATCTCTGTGGATTTTTTCCCCTGTTTAAATAAAACATTTTTAAATTGTATTGTGATACTACTGATTGTGTGAAAGCTAAAGCTTTGAGAATGCAGGAGCCCATGATGAGAAATTATGAAGAAACTTTTCAAATCAAAGGTTTTAAATGTACGTAAGTTAGGTCCTATGTAGACGTGTAATACAAAGCCTGCATAGCTCAGCTGGTGAGAGTCTTAGTGCTGTGGACACAAACACAGACAGCTGCAGACAGCTTCATTGTTAACCAGCATCCTCAAGAGCAAAGCCACGTAGGACTTTCAAACTGAAAAATCTCAGATGAGTTCGAATATCAGGGTCAGAGGTCAAGTCTTCTGAAAATCTTGTGAATGTGATAAGCTGAGAACAAGGTGATGTAGGATAGTGCTGCCAGTATTTTTTAATTCAGTGGTCATAATTTTTAATTGACTATATGACCAATAAACCAATTATAATCAAATTCATGAAATATGAAATTATGAGGTTTTATTTTAACAGAGTTAGTTTTAAAATACCAAGAGGTATTAAGGCCATTTTTCTTCATAAATATTATCTTGTTATTGTGTCCTTTGTGTTTAAAGTCTATAATAGTGGCTCAAACCTTCCCATATCTAAATAATAACAGTACATATGTATACTGAGCTGGCTGAGAGGAGAATCCCAGAATAAGTCTGGGTTTAGAGGCTGTTTTAAAGGGGTTTTAAAGACTAGCTGAAGTCAGTGTTACTTTGTTTTGTATGTTCTCTAAACTGCTTTTAAGATTTCAATTTTTTTCAGAACCAACAGGATCTTTGTGTCTCGGTGGCTGATTGACATCATAAGCTTTTGTCAATATAACAACTAACCAATTTATTAACCACCGACTAACTAACCAACTACCCCATTCAGTCACTATTTAAAACAACATATTATTAAAAATCTAAATACTACTAATAAAACTAAAGTACTAAACAAAAACAAATAAAAATATATTTTGAACTTTTGCATCTTGGTTTTTAAACTCACTTCCTGTTGGTGTTGGGCTTCCTGGTGTATCATGTGGATATAAGGTTTATATGTGGCATGGCACTTTCACTGCATGGCTTCTTTCATTCTTTCTTTCTTGTTGTTTATACTTTGAAATGCAGAAACTCAAACTCTCAAATGTTTTTCTAGAACTAGTTTCTTGTTGTCATACATCTTATACACTCACACTGCATGTTAAAAAAAAACCCAACCAGCTAGTCGTGCTTTGTTAAAATGTTAGCTTGATAATGAAAACAACCAATTGCATTAACATGAGGAGTTGTTTTTGTAATAAAAAATTTAATGTAAAGAAAGAGCTTCATCCTCTTTCTGACTTCACTCCGTATGTTTCACAACTTCTCATAGAGAAAAATGTGGTTCCACCAGCGAGGGAACTTCTAAACCTGCCAATCTGGGTGCTGTTCAAAAGTTCTAGGAGTTTAAAAATAGTTTAAAAACCAGTAACCTTCCAGAAGAGATGGCAACGTTTTAAGA